CAGTTTTATTGAAATTAAAATCTACCCAACAGTAACGTTCAATAAATAAATAAATAAATAAGGGAATGAGGTGAATTGAGAGCTGGGATAGGATATCACAATGCTACGATACGTTGGTTATTAGCAGGAGGGGTTGATTACGAGAAAGTTCATGGATAGATTTCATTTCGAATGTACGGTATGGTTATTGGAAAAGGTTCTAGATGTCTGGAGTTAGAAGATAAGTGGATTTAACTAATCGAGATGATAAAAAACATTAATGTTTTATAGATTAAATATTGTAACAACAAACAGGTGTTTGAAACGTTTTAATTCCTACCTGACATGATTATCATACAATACACGTAAATAGATACTTACAAGTACATATATATTTTATTTTAATATATATTATATTATATTATTTTTAAAGTTGTATTTATTATCTTATACGCTGTTGTACCAACATTGCCATTAAAGTTCTTAGCGATCAATATACGGTCAGGTCTGTCTAGACGTTTTTCGGATGTTGTCTAACTACGCATTGGAATTCGTATTACACTTGTTACTTATAGGTCAATATATTTATTCATTGTTAACTTGTACAATTGTATTATATGAATATTTATTCATTGAATTTTGACAATTTGAGCGGGATAAATATCATTATACATAATTGTATATATCATCGTCAATAGCCATTGAATTAACCTACGAATAATGACGTAGCATGTCAACATAGCCATTGCGTTGAGTTTTTTTTCTTTAGAAAAATAACAATTCTCAAACAGTATAATTTTGAAATTGTAATCGAATAGTAAGTACATTTAAATATGAGGTAAGCACATTTTTTGGGATGAAAAATTTTAAAATGTTAAAGGTACCTATATATATATATATTTTTAATTTACCAGTCACTTAGAGAAAAATGGGACTCAAGTGATATAAATTTAAAAAAATAAAAATGAGTTAATATAAAATGTATATGTTGTAGTCAATACATTTTGTACCTCATACAATATGATATAAAAGCTACACTGTTCACGTGTATATTTAATTTAATTTTTAATTTTACATACATACGCCAATTGAATTTTGAAAATTATATGTTGATGTAATGAATAAATTAATAACTAAATACAGAACGATTTAAAGTGATGATAACAATAAAATAGAGTTAAAATGAGTCAACTTTACCGTGATATAGGTTGAATAAAAATAATTTATCTGCCCTATCCCGCTTAACTTCTAGTGAAGAGAATTTTAATATTCCCATGACAAGTGAATAATTATGCTGAAGGTGGTCGATTTTTAGGAGAAAACCAGTGAGACTAAGGAAACAAGATTGGACTCGCTCAATTATCTGGATGTCAACATAAAGAGACAGATTTTAAATTATAGACCCATAATTCATGATGAACTTTACTAGAGTAAAATATAATATGACTAAACAAGGTATTGAGTCAAATTGAGTAGTATAACATCGTATAAATCCTAAAATTCTTAAGGAATTGCAGGAGATATATTCAATATGAGAACGAAAATGAATATATGTTACAGTTAAAGTGTTGAATTCTATTATTTTATGTAATAACTAAGTATTTAATGAAATATCTGTGAATGTTAGTATGAAATTATATATGAATATTATACTTAAACTAGTTATTCCATACAATTTTAGTTTGATTTCCATTAAAGTATAGAATACATTTAAAATGTATTATAATATTTTATTTGATTAAAGCTGAATTAACTATAGTTACATTATTTGTTTGTTCTTGCTAGGTTATCGTGGCATTTAGAATTGCACAACACCTTTTTTTTTCTGCAAACACACCGATTTGTATCAAATTTTTTGCTACAAGAATCCTGACTAGTTCTCATTAACTGCACAGTTGCCGGAAATCTTAATTTTGTACTTTTATATGGAATAAGTAAAATTATGATATTATTTTTGACAGTTTGACACATTAACGAAGTGAACTCCGGAAAAATATAGAATAATTAATTAAAGTACCTATAAGATAAAAAAAATTACCTAAAATTCTGTTAAGATTACACTGTTGTTCCATGATTTCATTGTTGTTTGATGTATAAATATTATAATGGCATCAAATGACAAAAAAAAATATATGATCATAAAAATAATGAAAATGAAACAAACACGTACATGGGGCTTATAGAATTACTGCATTTCTACTTACATCAACCTATATATGTTTAATTTTTGAAAATATTTCACTTTTTTTTTGAAATCTTAATCTTGTGTATAAATATTCAAAGCCACCGTTGGATTAGACAAATTAATACTCTTCACAGTCATATAATAACAAGAACTACTGCGTGGCTACATCCAGAATATTATGTAAAGTGTTACTAAACATTATTGGAATTTTAAGACGAGGTATATAAAAAAATATTTAATACGCCTTCTTACTTGCAACCCGTAATTTTCATTTTTTTTTCTATTATTTAATATAAACGTTGATGTTAAACAGTACATCTTTTTATATTTTATAGAATATTATCGTAATATTATAATTATAGCTATATGCACGTGTATATTATACCTGTACAATTTATGTCTCACTTGTATTACTTATACGAGTACATTATGATAGGGGTGACAAATTTTTTCAACGTTATATGCTTAAAATTACCTTATTTTTTTCTTTGTGCCATTAAATTATAAATATAAATACATTAGTATAAAAACATATTATATTCATTCAAATGGATTTGTTGAATTTATAGAGTAAATAAAATGGAGATTTGATTTAAGAAACTAACATAAAATTTATTGATTTTCTTAACATGATTTTTGTTGTTGTACATTTGATGCCAATTCATGTATATTAGCTTAAATATTTTTCACTTTTAATAAAGTGCATTACCGCATTCATCTATTTTACTGATCTGAAATCAAATCCGTGAAAATTCGTTCCCAAAAAGAATGAATTACGTGAATAGTTTAAACAATTAATTGATAATTTATAAAACGCTGTAAATAAATGCTGTCATTTTTATAGTAGTTCATTGTGGCCTTATTATTTATTATTAAGAATTGAATATAATTAAACGAATGTTTTAACTTTTCGCGTGCCATAAGTTTGCATACCTATAGTCATTTCACCGGATGATAACTAGATATAAGTACTATTTGACGTAATGTATACAAATGTATATAATGTAAAATCTTTTGCCGAACACCTCAAATATCTAGTTGACAAACGTAATAATATGTATAGACATCGCAACGTATTGTACAGCGGTTTTATGTATTATTTATGTAATGTTTTTCGTTTTTTTTTCATTACACATGTATTTATTGTATTTATATATATATATTTGTAGGTACATTAAACGTGTGTCATTCCAAGGAATAATCTTACTCGATTTCCCTTTTAATTTTCGATTGTTCTTTTTTCTTGAGCGTTGTATACGTTTTGAATGTAATTGGAATCTTGTTATACAAAAACGATCAATGCGTATACGCATATAGATAGATACACGAATTTCGATTTCACATATTTTGGCTATTTCTTTTATGTCATATCTCGAATAAAATAAAATATGACAATATTATGTATAAGATGTATATACCTATATATTTATATATTATTATTGCCACAAACAATTATTTCGATCATACATTAATTTACACAGACGCAATAAAAGATTATAAACGAGACAGGTTTCGCTATAATAGACGGTTCCCTAGTCAAAACTTTCCGACTTCCAGCCTTCACCAGCATTTTCACATCTGAAACATTACGATGTCCATGATAGTTCAATCTACAATCTCGTCAGACAACAACAATTCTTTCATAATAAGTGACTCTCTCAGCGCCCTAATCTCACTCCACGACCAATACCCAAAAATTAACTAGTCCAGTTCACCAAAGAACTCATTTTCAGTTTTATAAACAAAAATTAAATCAAATTCATGTGGGTTACATCTCGCATAGAAATTCCTGGGAACAAAAAAGCTGACAAAATGTTTTATCAAACGGTGACATCCACAACTTACCACCATCATCGATAAATTAAGAAACGTCAAAAATACAGTGAACAAATAGGCATATCCAGATAACTCATCCCGGAGAGGTATAATGTATATAACAATAATAATAATAACACATTATTATAAACAGAACTAGAATAGGTCATTCTCATCTTATTCGCTTATTTGATTACCAAGGAACCCATCCTAGAGTTTGATACATGTAAAACCTCTCTCATTAGGGAACAGATAATCATTTTCTCCCACAAATACTCAGCTGCATGTATTATACTCCACAATCCTTAAACATTCGAAGAATTAGTCAACCAACAAAATAACAGCAATATTTTCAAATTCTTCAAACAAATAGACATAGACCAAACATTCTAAATTCCTGTAAATAATTCATGTAACTTCTAACACATTTAAGACATCTATAGCTCATTGGAGGGAAAGTAACGATATTATAAATAAGAATTTTCGTCTACAACCAATGTGAAAATTACAAAGTTAAAAATAACCTATCTTACGTTTGAAACGTGTTCAATAAGTCGAACTGTAATCATTTAATGATTATAGAATTATTGAAATAACAACAAATTAAATCACGAGTTTATAAAATGTAGATTAATATAGTAGCTAACGTTATCAAGAACAATTATTTAAAATCAATAATTATTAATTGTATGACAACGCAGGTATAAAATTTATTTAATCGTTATTTAATAATGATTTGACTACTAAAAATAGCAAAATGTACAAATTTGTTAGTGCATAATATAATTATTTATGAGTTTATGATATTTAACGAACTTAATCATTTGTATTGTTTCATACATATTGAAACAAATATGTAGTCATCACATCTCGTTTGAAAAATACTATAAATACAATATAAATATTATTTGAGAAATGTGGTTACAGTGTTACTGCTGCATAATTTTTAATATATTTTCAGCTATAATATCACGGAATACGATTATATTATCTATTATTTTTTATATACTTTATTTTAAAGGTCATACTGAACATTTCACATTTCTAAATACAAAAACCGAAGTTACTTCAATTGCTCTCTCATTTTATTCTGGTCTTTTCGCTTATAACGGATGGTTAGTACTGAATAATAAAATATTTTTTACTATTATTTATTTTACAGGTTCATCAAGTGTACAGATCTATTAACGTATATATATATGCATGCTAAAGTAATAAAAATAATAATTTAATGTTATCTAATAAGAATTCCGCATGGGAATGGACAAAATTCAATTAAATTGCTCAAACACATTACTCTTACAAATGAAGATTAAAAGAAAATAGGTCATAATATGTCCCTAACAAAACGTATTCAATGAATATTAATAATAATAAAAAAAAAAAACACTTGTTCATGATCGATCTAATATCTTAAGAATAATACTAGAAAGTCCTAAAACGTGTTGCGTGCATGAAATATAGGTAATTCAGTTTTTTTCTCTTATAAAGACAGGTTATTCAATTTTTTTTTAAATTTAAAATATTATTAACTAAGAAACAATTAATTATTTCTAATGTCTAGCTTTATAATATTTCTCTGTAAACGTTTCGTCATGATTATATTTGAAGTCAGTTCATTGGATTCAAATCTAAACATTATACGTACAAATTGTAATGAATAATGGTGTGAAACGAATTCCCATTACGATACTATTTTATATTCAATTTTTTCCTATACCAATGTATTATACATTATACTGATATATGATAAGGTGCATTCTTTTACTATGTTTCCGTATGTAACATTTGCGGTGCATGTCTTCATATTATTTTACAAATTCATATTATATCTGTTTATTTTGTTCGTTATAGGCAACTGAATCCAGGCTTAACATATTATAGGACAATGCATGGCTACGATATTAAAATATAATCTCTGAAAACCGTATAACATGATGTTGCATTTTTTCTATACTACAAATAACGTCTCGTTTTCTGTTTCTAGGAATTACTTAAACTTTGTGATCGAAGAATTAAAAGATCCCATACGGTTTGTTTCATTGTTTTAATTAATTTTCGTATAGCCACCATTTTTACTTCGTTTCGATCTAATTTTATTCTTATTATTTTTCTACCTCAGAAACCTGCCAAGAGCGATCGCAATATCATGCATACTCGTCACCGTTGTGTACGTCTTTACCAATGTAGCGTTTTACTCGACGTTATCGCCACAAGAAGTTCTCAATTCGGAAGCTGTTGCCGTTGTAAGTATTTCAATCGAATCCACTGTATCGGTTAAATGCGAAATAAATCACACTCAAATATCGATATTTTTAGGGTATACATACAGTATAACTCGCTTAAGAGATCGGTTTTCCGATGATCTCTAGACATTACTATAATATAGTTAATAATTCAAAGTAAAAAAATACTTATTCAATTATTTTTTTTGTTTCTTAACGGATAATACAGTATTTAGTTCAGCAGAAGGCGATAATTATCATTAAAATTTGTTTGATGATTAAAATTGAAAATGTTGGTCGTTTTGTTCACGAATGTTTACGCATGGTCAATAATTGATAAATGATTATAATATAAGTGGAACATTGAAGATGAGCTTTAGTATTTTTCAGTTTATTGAATTGCGACATTAGGATATTTCACTAGGTAGGGCCAACGAGAGACCAAAAATTATAAAGTCGGGCCTGGTAAAAAATGAGATTACATTAATTAACTATAAATATAAATAATGTAATACGAGACACGAATTTATATTGTACGTAATGTTATAATATAATATTACAGTACTTAGTTTTTTTTCTTTAATATTTTCCTTTTTCAACGGTGAACTACTACATTTTTTTCTTTATTAATTAAAAATGACCATATTGTTGTGTATAAGTGGTAGGCCATGCATACTCGAGTAAGGACATGACCTTACTTGGATCGTCTCTGGCGCTCCTACTATAATCAATCGTTGGCTAATTTTTAATTGTTCTTTCTGTACAATATCGTCTTGTATAGAGATTTCGTTTTATCTAGTGTCACGAGAATGTAAGTGTAAGTAAAGCATAAACCTATAATTATTTCGGATGGACTGAACATTTCGGAAAAGTGCGACGAAAGTGACCAGAAAAAAAATCAAAAAGGATCATCTTAACTTTCTAATGCGTACAAATTCTAATGGCACCCATAAATTGAAGTTTAAGTTGTACTTGAAAAAAGTAGGTCTCCTTGTAGATTTTTTTTCAATTACCTCATTCGACACTTTTCAGCTTATTTAAACGCTTTTTGGATTCAGTCACTCGAAGCTCGGTTTAACCGAGTTTTACTGTGCACTTATCGGGTATAAAAATTAGATACTATAAAACCATGTCTTATTATGTACTTCAAATTATTTATAAATAAGTACATTTGAAGAACGGCCTATGAAATTACTAGTGTTATTGTGTTAATGTGTTACAGATTAATAATGTATTATGTTATTTTGTTTTTTTGTTCTAATTAAAAATTAAATCATTAAATATTAATCATTTGTTATGTTAAAAAACTGATTTCTTTTTTTTTATAAATATAGACTTTTGCCGATAGATTGTACGGTCCTATGGCATGGACAATCCCCGTATTTGTTGCTTTATCTACATTTGGTGCTGTCAACGGTATTCTACTAACAAGTTCAAGGTAATCAATAATTAAATTATATATTTTAAAAATTTTAGTAATTAATTATATTGCACTTCAAACATCCATGATAGATGTAACATATTTATATGTGTGAAACGTTTTACTTAATAGTAGTTTTTTTAAATTTAATAAATCTTTAAAGATAAATTTCAGTTGAGACCAAATAAATATACATCTCTTACCATTTATTATAGAATAGGCTATTACTATTTCATTACTAAGATTAAAATTTAATAGAATATATTTAATAAATTAGAAAATAGAAAATATTATTAAAAATAACATATGTTTCATTTTATTTTGCAGAAATTTGTGTTCCAGTTCCTCATAAATAGGGACTCTTTTATTTTCTTTAGCAATTTTTGTTTTCTTTGAATAAATTATAACCAGTGTTAGGTAGCAACGTATTCTTTTAATAGGAGCGAAGCTTGAAACGCGTTCCTTTTCAAAAACAGGAACGAGGAACCGAAAATAGTTCCTATTTACGAGGATCTGAAGTGCAAATTTCCGCAAAAAAAATGAAACACATGTTATTTTTAATAACAATATTTTCTATTTTCTAATTTATTAAATATATTGTATTACATTTTAATTTTGGTAATAAAATAGTGATAGTCTATTCTATAATAAATGGTGAGATATGTACACTTATATAATAACTTTAAATAATCATTATTAGATCAATATTAATCATGGCATAAAAAAAACAACATTTTAAGCAAAAATCGGGAAAAAATATTCAATAAATTTATCGTATTGTGTATATTATCTTCACGATTTGAAAAAACTAACAATTAAGACTTACTTCAAACTTTAAAATCTTTATAAATTATTTTGCATTAATTTGAACATTTCAACATTCACTAATTACAACATTCAAACCACGAAGCCTTTTTCAACATGTGTTTCAAACTTTTTTTTTAGTAATCATTATTATTATTTTTAGTAAAAATTGAATAACTATCTAATACCTTATGCAATTCACTCGTAATATGACATTTTTTATGTAGATTTACTGTATGAAAAAGTGTTTACAGAAAGCATCATCTTTGTAAACTATGACATTCCACGCTTCATTAAATTCTAATAGTTTAGTTGTAGTATAAAAATAAGAAAATATTATGCTATAAATAGATTGTGAAAACTATCATGAAAACTGTTGCAATTCTTTGTTAGCGCGAAATACAACAATAAAAATAAATAAATAAAGACTCATAAGAAAAATCCAATGCTTTAGCATAATAATTAAAAAAAACAACAATATAGTTGAAAAAAGTTATGAAATTATTAAACACCTTATAATGTCGGTACAGTGTTAAAAGTACAGGTATAACAACTGCAATGCATTATATGTTTTAACTATATTATATACTTCAATGAATGAAGACTTAATTTTTGCTTTGTAATATTTCACTTTTATTTATAATTGTTAGTAAGTATGTATATATTTTTAATTTAATTCAAGTTTATAGGGTGTTTAATTTTTAAAGTTTTCTCAAATTATTAGATAATTGTAAATGTAAAAATTTTGAAAATAATTGGGTAAAAATAATTTAAATACTCAACTTAGATAGTTTCAAAAATGTAAAAAAGATTTTTTAAGACTATCTAACAACTAAATGGCTATGTTTATGATAGAATTAAGTGAATCTTATGTGTTGCAATTATACAATTTGTCATTAGCGCAAACCGAGTGGGAGATTTGGAGTAGACAGAGTTCCCCCAAAACTTACTGAAATCTTCCTGAGTTTTTCTTCTAAACGAAATATTTCAGTTTGCGTTATTTTTCCCCCACTATTAGGAAATTAACCTAACAGTTATAAAAAGAATAAAGAAATGTTTTTGAAAAAATATAAATATGTAGGATACGGACGTACGGTGGTCATGATTTATAGTAGAAAAAACAGACTAAAAACCGGACACTTAGGTACCTACGTATTTTGTCGTGGGTTATTGAGTGAACGATTCAATGATTATTGATTATGTACTCGTCACAGTTTAATGTTAAACCGTGAAAACTGTTGTTCATGTCTTCGTGAAATAGTAGGTATCACTGAACTTCAGCAAGTAATTATCTTATCCGATTTCTTTACAAGTTAACATCAAAATAGATCAGTCAAACATATATATAAACATTAAATTTAACGAAATATAGACGCAGAAAATATTGTAAATCGATAATCGCGTATCAAAAACTATAGGACTAATTAATCACAACAATTTACGAACATCGTTCAATAAACCATATACGACGTGCTATTTTCTTTTCGTCGAGAGACCTTAACCAGACCACCTCCCCCACCTCGAACGAAGCTGATTAAATTAGGTTCAAAATATTTGCGTCAGAGGCATAGTTTATAAATTATAATAGTTGAACGTTTCTAATGTTTTCAGGTTGTTCTACGCCGGAGCCTGCGAGGGACAAATGCCACAAATCCTTACGATGATCCAAATCAACCGACTGACGCCTACACCGGCAGTTATATGCATAGTAATTAATATTGTTTATAACATGGCTTTATCGATGCAACCAGAAAATAGTCACTCGAATAATTCGGGGGGATGGTTTCTTTTTTTATTTGTTGCAGTGTTTACTGTCTTTAGTGTATTTGCAAATATCAAATATTTACGCTCTCATCAACTACGTCGGATTTGCCACTTGGGTACGTATACACTCTCGGATACGCCATTTTGCGCTATTATTACAGATAAGAACAAGATCAGTTCATAAATTCGTATTACTCAAGAGCGCGTATTATTACAGTTGAGCATTGGAGTTTCGGTTTTGTGTATACCGTGGTTACGTTGGACTCAGCCAGATTTGAAAAGACCAATCAAAGTCAACATGTTCTTCCCTGTTCTCTACATCGCTGCAACGCTTTTTGTCACGATAATTCCAATAATCGCTAGTCCGGTGGAAACAGGTGTGTGCATATTATTTTTATTTATCTATACTTGAGTGAAGTGATCAGAATTGTACACTCCTGTCTCGACATCCTTTCCACGAAAATACTTAAATTATTTATTACGCACCATATAATCATAGGTTAACGATTTTTTTTATCGTGTAATGCTAAGCCCATAAGGAGAGAGAGTTATCTCGGTTTTTCCTTATCCGGCACCGGGAAATCACGTGTCATGATTCCAACGTGGACCTACGCCTGACGCGCACCAAAGACTTTTGTCTAGAAGGCACTTGAAGTTTTGATCCTCTCCGCGTGTATTTTTTAAATTATTTTTGTATTTCTTCGCCAGATCAACGTAGGGTTTACCTGTTATGTGTCCTTGATATAGACGCGTGGCTTTCGATATCTAGAGCAAGTCAAAGATCATGTGACTGCAGGCCCTGTAAACTATTCACCCCTGACTGTGTGCTTATAGTCAGACAAATATAAGTTTTACGTAAAAAGTAAACTGTACAATATCTTAAATGTACAATTTCAACGAGTTAAAATAAAATATTATCAAAATATTAACCGTGTACCTACACATCGCATTACGTGCGCCATATACATTGCACTATGTGCACACTCGCGAGATGACCTAATGTGTTTTATATGTACACATCATAAAATGTATGCGAAGAAAATTTTGATTGAAGGGATCATCGAAAAAAAAATATTGTTATTTATAATTTATATAACGTCACGGTCTATCGCGTAAGCCATTTGGGTTACTGCGTTACGGGCCGAGCATTACCTTCCTAGTGATGCCGTAACGACTGATGCAAATTCATCTACTACGCAATTTTACACATTTTTCAAACATATGATTATAGGCTACGGTTGTTTGATGATATTGACCAGCATACCTGTGTACGGAGTGTTCATTTATTGGAAAAACAAACCGGTGATATTCAACAAAGTTATTGGTAAGAAAAAATAATAAAATATGTACTCACTTAATAATATCCTAACTGAAACTAATCTAACAATATTTGCACTCACTGACATAACTATATAATCGTATATATATATATATATGCGAATATATGTGTGTATTACATAATAAGTTATTCCACTGGTGTAAACGATAAGAAACGCTCGGTTTTCGTTCAATACTTTTTGTAAATTTTATTCAAAATAGAAGCAAATGAACTAAACTATTGAACTATAGGAAAATAGAAAATAATATTAAACTCTTTTGGGAACAATTTTTCATTTTTAGGTGATAAAAATCAATAATATTTAATAAGTAACATTTCAACTTCCAAACAGCCAACCTGTTTTTTTTTCGGTAGTTATCGTACGGTAGTCAGCAGTCAGAGCGATTATAATTTTTAATCTTTATATACAAGTAATAGGTTACTAAATACATTAATAGTCATGCTGTATTAGGTACTTGTACTCAGGGATGGGCAAAATACTTGAAAAAAAGTATCTAGATATTCTATACCAGATACATACATTTTCTCCTGAAGATACAAGATATAATATAGGTACATTTGAAATTTTTAAAAAGATAATAAATACTAGATATATTTTGTTAATTTTTTTAGATACCTACAAAATACAAGATACTATTAATTTTTTTTTTTTTTAATTAATAGATATAATTATTAAAATTCATTATATTTCAACATTGTTTATTTTCAATGAAATTAAAACACACAAATATTTATTATGGTTCAATAATAGGTTCGGTCCATTATCTTTTTTTAGGATTAAATAATAATAAAAAAAAAAATAATAATAATAAAAAATAATAAATAACATACAAATAAAACCAATTTAAATTAATTAAATACGCATTACTTTATTTCAAAAATTACGAATTATTTATTAAAAATATTAAATTTTCCAACGTTTTATCACATAATCCAGAACGTGTTGGTAAATATATGAAGCCAGCTGAAGAACACAATTTATCTTGAAGCAGGTCTCCAATTCTTTAAAACTTGTTTTACCAAACATGTTTTCAATTAATTTAGTGCTTATATCAGTCAACTTCGTATATTACTTAAGGTAAATTTAAAATTGATTTTTATTTTTTATCAGAAAAAAAATGTATTTTCATTTGTATTTTATAACTTTACACAAATATCATAAAATGAAAATATACAAGATACACAGCCACAATAAGTATTTGGACACAAGATACAACTCAAAAATGTTAAAAGATACAAAATACAAATAATAATATATATTAATTTTGCAACAAAATAATACAAGTTAATTAAGAACAATTAATATAAAATAAACAAGTTGCAAATTCATCCAATAAGCATATGCTTGAAACGGATGAGCTGAGTTGATATTACTACAATATTAATAAGAAAAAAATTGTATAACAAAGGAATATTTAAAAAACTAAAACATTTAATTACCAAACTAATAAACAAATGTTTTTGGAAACATTTTGTTTAAATATTTCTTATAGTTATTAAAATGATCAAATTTATCTAAATTAATATTATAATTACGCAATAATAGAGCTCCTCTAATTATTGGATTTTGAGTTCTAGATGTGAGTGTGATGAAGTATTTAAGATACTGTCCATCCCTGCCTGTACTTGTAGTAGCGAATTGAGGATTATATCATGAGATCGAAGGTTATTGGTGCATTTAGTGTTAAGGCTAATTAAAGGTCTTGAAAATATTCATAAATCGAACTCCAATCTTCTAACAAAATTGACTGATGTGCAATGAAAAGCATATTTTGGAATATTCATCTAACAAATAAAATGGAATTATAATTTAAAAAATAATATAAGTAAATTTATATGTGTCTATCTTTGCACACATCTAAGACCAGTGGCGTATTTTCAATTTTTTCTGGGGGGGGGTCCACAGTTTATACATAACTAATATAAACTGTATATTATATTGTAATAGTTACATCCTTATGCAGTTTTTGGAGGAAGTTGAACTAAATATATAATGTAATATTATATATATACCTATATATTGTATTTAACATTATATATTATAAAGTATTGTTATAAAATAAATTCTAGTTGTCTCGATTTTTTGGCCAACTCCTCTATCACTTCATCAATAGTAATTTCAACTTCTCTGTGAATGTTTAACATAGCCAATTCTGCAAATATGTAAGAATTTTAGTTTATTTTTTATTTTTTGTAGAGGTTCTGGGGGGTTCCAGTACCCCTGGACCCCCCCCCCCTTCCCCGTAAATACGTCACTGTCTAAGACATCGTGGTTAAAACATTAGATACTAGGAAAACAGGCCAAATGTGAATCTCTATCGTCCATACGTCTTTATCCGGAAAATACGCTACTGGGATGAAACAGTGACAGTCATTCAAAGTTTTCGAAACCAAAAAAAAAAAAGACATCATACATACCGTATAGATTATATAACTTATTTATTTTACCTGCAAAAGGTAAAATATGTAGTTAGAGCAATCTCTTTCCTTAGTTAGAAAATAAGTTCAGAAATATGCTACTACGGCAATTCTTGCTGGTTACTACGTATTTGTGACTCGTTACAGAGTAACTGTTCACTTAAACATACATTTTATTGAAGTACGGTTTACTATTATTATTATAAAATGGTTCTGGGAAATGTTTGTTTCAATTCAAATGTCTATAGTTGTACCTACCGCATAAACACAATATATAATAATGTACTTATAAATACTGAATATACTTTTAGGATGTATAACGCGTTACTTACAAATACTTCTAATGGTCACTACATCGAAGATACCAGCCAAAGTTTGAAAAAGTGTAAGAAGTAAAACATATATCGCCATAATCAACTACTACTACCTACTTATTTATAATCGACAGTAGCCGCATGCAACATTATATTCCAATAACATATTATATGTACATTTTATTTAATTAACTGTACAATATCAGTACTGAATATTAAAATACTCGTATTATATTATAAAGCCACGAGGTGTGCCATTTAAAGGTAATTTTTAAATTTTTTTTGTTTATATATACCAATTGTTTTGTTAAAATAATGTGATGTACGAATGTACCTATTATCTGGTGTTTATAATATTGCGCATTGTAAAACATTATTCTTTAACTAGGTATTCTTAAAACAATAACTTCAATATTATAATATTATTGACGATTGTTATTAAACCAAATCAGTATTCAAAATTGACAATAATTTTGTATTTATAATGAAAATTAATATTTAATGTACGACTATTTAAAATTTATTTTTTAGATATGATAAATATAATTTGATTTTTTTTTTCTATATTGAATTAAACTCTTGGTTGTTAAACGTACCTACCTACTTGAACTATGTTAAAGCATAACAACATTCCAAGGTAGGTATAATTTAAGTGTTACAATATATATAAATAAATATATATGTATTTGATAACAAAAAATAATTTAAGTTAAAAAAAATTATTCATACAGTTAATATCAAAAAAAAAAAAACCAACAATAATTGTTAATAAATAACTGAATTTTTATCATTCATAATTTTTAATCATAAAACAATAAATAATTGTACAGGTAAAAAGAAATTTCTAAATAAGTTTTTATTCAATTGAATTATTTTATAGTTAATAAAAAAAGGAGAACAAGGTTGTTATTTTTTCCACTCTTTACCCGCAATATCTGTTATTTACAATTTTTTGTTGTTTAGTTATGATAAAACATTTTAAACTATTTAGACTACCCCAAAGTCCTATTAGTAATAAATTATTATTAATAACATAATCGAGATAAATGTCCAATAATTAACCTGATAGATCAAAAACAATAATAGTTAATAGGATACTAAGTACATTCTGTTATAACGTCATACTATAATATTATACCTACTAATCGAATACCTCATTATTATAATCTTTTACTTATTATTAATCGAGTAAAAACTTTTATTATAATATACTATAACTTTATAAAGTCTAATTAAATATTATACTTACCTACTTACAAGTACACCACATATTTAATCAGAATAGTAAAATTATTTATTTATTGATTTTTGGTTAAGAATTAGCCAAAATATTGGTAGCAGGTGACATTTGTACCATTGTTTTGTAATAGATTAATATTATAAATCAATTGTAAGAAAAAGCACTAAAACGCGCAACCTACCTATTTGTTATATAGTTTTGAATAAGCATAAATATTATTGTTAAAAATTGATTAAGTTATTTGAACTGTTCAAAATTTTTGTACTTTAGTTATATGTTAATCAGTCCGTTTTTTTTTTTTTTTTTTTTATAAAAATAAATAGTAATTTTTACTGGGTGAAAAGTTGTTATTCATAATTTCAACATTAAATATTGTGAAAGGATATGAATTATTATTGTTCTTCCAGCGGTTGGTTAATTAAGTAAATAAAGTAAATTATTATTATTATTATTATTTATTACACATTAAGTAAATATTTATTTTTATAAGATATTAGTGTTTTTTGTTTTATATAATATATAATAACTATCACGATCAAGAAAATTAAGTTTTAATAACGATGAAATATGTATATTATCGATATAATAACTTGTTATACTTGTACGTTCATGTTTTGTAAGTTGGACTATTTTTCAAAACCAAATTTTTTTTTTTTTTTTGTAAACAATTGTTATGTTTATCACATCAGCATACTAATTGCATATTTATTATTATTTAAGTTCTACTGCCAAACTAAATATTATAGACTTTATTTCTTGAAATATAGATTTAAGTCTCATTCTACAAAACTGAAATGTATAATAAGTTACCTTTCTGTAACAAAAAAAAAGGTTATTGTTTATTCGTTATTGGTGTCATCAATATATTAATAATACTTACCTTTATAATATTGGCTTAAACATATGCATACATTTATAAAATTAGTTTCATATTAACAAAATAATATTCTATACTTATCAATCAATCATGATTTAGGGTTTTTATTGTTTGTATCGAGCGACTTAATACCTACCAATGTGTTTACTAATTTATCCTGAATACCTTCTACTGTAAATAATAATAAGTGATCGGTTAACAGTATGCTTTTAAGTCTAACATGTTGTATTAAATAGTTACGATATAATACCTTAAGTTAAATAACGACTATAAAATACAATAACTTAATATTATCTAAGACGCGTGACAATACAATTTATCATATAAATATTACAATATTTTACTATTAATATCAAGTAAATATTTTATAATATGATATTAAAATATTATACTGTAGGTATATCTCAAACTATTATTTGCAAAGTTTGTTTTTTATTAAGAAATGTGAACAATATTAATGCAGTCTTGTTAAAAATGTTGATTACATAACTAATACATTGTTCATAAACTAAAATAAATACTTTTGCTTATATGATTTTAATTATTTGTGTTAAATGATTTTCTGGTAATAATAAGAAAAGATGGTAAAACTGGTAATTGTGAATAATATGAACAGTGATATATTTATATATATATATATATATATATATATATATATATTCATGTGATATATTTACAGGGGACTTAATTTATTTTCATGTAATCTGTGGAGTAACTTTATTCATAACCATATTATACAAAAAATCTTTGGAACCTCTACTTTCTGTATACATTCCAGCAGTTTTGAGAAACTTACAAGTCAATTACAAAATCCGATAATAATATGGGCAACCTAAATGATTACCACGACTCAAATGACTTTATTGAGGAAAACTAATAAAAAAATGACAAGTTTAAAAAACACTCATGGTATTTCTTCTCAAATACTATAATGTGAAGTTAAACGATTACAATTGTGTCATAAGTTCATTTGAAAAATAATGTTTTAAACTAGAGGTTGTGGTTATACATTTTTAGAGAATACGTATACAGTGTACACTTACTAAAATGTTATTAAGATCCCTGTTTTTAAAACAAGGTTATTTTTTACCCACATACGTGTTTTTAATACCTGTTGACCGTTACCCATATATATAATATTTATGATATATATTTCTGGTTTAATTGAAAATATATCGGCTTATCTCTATTTTATTTTATTCTAATAGCATTTACGATACTACTCGTATATTTATAAATTTTTTAGAACAACAATTAGGAAACATTTTGAACAGACCTTGTACATGGATATCATGTATATTGGTACACGGGTTATATGTATGTAAATTTTAATCACACAGACTTAATTCCGTTTCAGATAAGACCAAGTGTACCCGTGTAATGGCGAGCAAAAAAAAAAAAGTATTTAATTCATAATAATCAACCTACAATACAATATACTTTCTTACAATGATATTAAGTATCGTTAAATTGCATCACTCTAATTTTTAATAAATTAAACAAGTGTTTTTACAATGGATGACCTGGTGTATGAAATAAAAACTAACTCATTAAGTATCTATCAAATTATTTATTCTGGATATTCAAATTTCTGACTTAATACCTTTGAATAAAATACAATTGGTTACTACACAAAAAAAAAAAAAAAATACATTTTTAATATATATATATAATATTAACTTATATTAGTTTAATTCTGTTCATCTTCAAAAGGGTATGGAGGCGCGAAAGCATTGAAGAAACAATTTTCCTGCAACTATTATAAAAAAATATGTGATTAAACAATATTTAAATAATAATTTCAATAATAATAAAGACATAAAACTTAAGTCTGAAGTAGTAATAATTTGTCGTATTAAAAATTATTTTCAAAACGTATATTCTATTACATTTTACTTTTTTTAGAAATGTTATTAAATTTTCCAAGTTTAATGCAATTTTTATTCTAACAATTTGATGAATAATGATTTTTCATATTTTTGGATTATATAAATAAATTTTTTTTAAGATATATTTTATGATACTTTATACAAAGGTTAAAGCATGAAATAAATATTAAATAGTCTTAAATGTATACTAATTTAACATATTCATTAAGCATATATCAAGTATTTAGTAAGGTTTAAAAATATATTAATTTTAAAATTTTATAAAGTTGTTTATGAATACCGGTTCTATATGAACACACAATTATTATACTGCATTATTAAATTTAATTTATGTGAATTAGTTAGGATCACCCTATGATAGTAAAATATTGCATTTGAATATTTTCTTTATTGCATTTTTAGTTCATATGGATATAATTTTGTTTCACAGTAATCGTTTCAAAAAAATGTTGACACATTCCATCAAATTTGATTGAATATTTATAAAACAATGTACTCAAGACCATTGACTTCTGAAAATCTGTTTAATACAGAAATGGGATTGATGAGTAGTTATGTTTTACTTACAACGTAAATGGATCCAGTTAAAGCAACTAATCCTCCGGCCAAAATGAGATTGTATTTGGCGTTGGTTTTGCTGTGGTACTCTTTCCATGGCACGGTGGGAACCGGCATATCGTCCATAGTCAAGGGTTTATACGTCACATGGTGACCGTCAGATTTGGAACGCATGACCATTCTGACTGCAGCTGAAAAAATCGAACAGTGTGAGTGACGCGAAACACAACACGGGTTACATGTTTGTTCGGCGAAAAAAAACCGAAAACGGAACCGCTGTCGCTGGAGGCACGTGAATTGAGTAAGTCGAGTCTAGCACGCACGAAACTGAAGTTGCATACTCACCGTTGGACTTTTTCAGTTGCGCAAATAGTCGAGACATGGTAAACCGTGTGTTGAGACGCGGACGGTGTTCAAAAAAATATGTGTCTCCGCTGTTGCTCTCGCGATGGACGTGCACAGGAACAATGAACGAAATTAAGCGACCTTTACAGATAGTGTAAAAATGAAAAATCGTTTGGCTAAACAGCTGAAGGTGAAAAACTGCGTGTGATAAGGCAGTTACGGCTGGCGCAGTGGTCACTGCTTCGTATGTACTTCGACCGCGGTTCACGTTCAACAGGTATTTGAGGTTATACGGTAAAACCCGCGTGTAGATAAACAATATTGTTAACACAACGACATGGGACACCGCTGTATCGCAGTAATAACGTTCCGTGCCGGTTGCTGACGAGTCACTGGACTCTTTGTTATTGTTTTTAATTTTTATTTCGTACCCGTTCCCGTTCGAAATGTCCGAATCCGTCAGCACGGTGTTGGCCCGTTTCAAATCGGAAACGGGCGAAATCGTCAGCAACATGATGGACCTACCGCGAAACGTCAGCGTCAGCAATTTACAGTTGATTTGCAATTCCATTCTTAAACAGGTAATAACTCTCGTGAGTCTATCCAGGTAGTCAAACAAACTCGAAAACCGTTTGCTTAAGGGTTTTGACCGATTGGCTAAAAAACTATCGAAGAGCGTTTCTGTCCATTGTCCTTACAACCTTAACCGTTCACTTGCCCTTCGAACTTTGTACGATCCAATTGACGCCACTGATGGTGCTGTGTCTATTATATTATAATAATTATGAATACCGTTTCAGAATGAGACTGTCCCGTACGCTTTTTTTGTTGATGAAAAAGAAATCACAGAGAATCTGGACCAATGTTTGGACGGTAAGAAGTTTAGCACAGAACTGGTGATTGATATTATCTACCAAGAGCAGGCTGTGTTTAAGGTTCGGCCAATTACCCGGTGTAGTAGGTGAGCTAAAGGAATGAATATAATTGCTCATTATTTATTTGTATTTAAATGTTCTTAGTTCATTACCAGGTCACGCCGAGGCTGTGATATCTGTTCAGTTTAGTCCAGACAGCCGGAAATTAGCCAGTGGGTCTGGTGACACGACAGTGAGATTTTGGGATCTTGACATGCAAACACCTTTACATACTTGTCAAGGTTTGCAACTCTTAAGAATTTCTAGAAAGTAACTGCTAGTAACTTATGATCTTTTGCACAGGACATAAAAATTGGGTATTATGTATTGCTTGGTCTCCAAATAGCAAGTACTTGGTATCCGGTTGCAAAAATGGAATGATTATGTCTTGGAACGTGGAAACAGGCAAACGGATTGGTCCACCGATGACTGGACATAAACAATGGATTACTGCGCTTTGTTGGGCTCCATATCATTTATATCCTGAATGTAGAATGTACAGTGATTTTTGTCTTAATGTTATTAATTTTGGTCAATGTCTGAAATTTAAAAATAATTTAGATTTGCCAGTAGTAGTAAAGATGGAGACATTCGTATTTGGGATGTCATACTTGGTCAGTGTCAAAGATCTCTCACTAGCCATACACGTAGTATTACCTGTTTAAAATGGGGTGGAACTGGTTTACTGTACAGTAGTTCTCAAGATCGTACCATTAAAGTTTGGAGAGCTGATGATGTAATTTTTATCAGTATAATAATACTAGTTTTGAACATGAAAATATATTATAATTTCTATGGGCCATCTCCCAATATGTGATCTACCAAAATGGACTTGGTTTACCGTAATAATATTAAAAGTATAAATAAAAAAAAAAAAAATGTATTTTATTAAGGATCTACAAAATTATTCACAAAACATAATTTCATGTCTCTAAGGAAAGCATCAAAAATATTATCTCCATTATATTTTTCCTCGGTCATTTCTTTGATATAGTTTTACTTCATTGCCACATTTGTAACATTGTTATGCACATGATAGTAGGCCATAATTTTGTAGGTATTTGATAGTAGATTTTTCAGTTAAAAGAATTTTATAAAATTCTTTAACTAGCATTTTAAAAACTATTTTTTTAGGTCAAAATTTAAAAAAAAATTGATTTACCACAAACGGCACTAAACTAACCAAACTAACCCAGTAACCTGTATTTTTACATGATAAAATAAATATCGTTATGAAAAATTAAGATAAAATATATAAATTGGTGGATAATAAATAATAATGATTGGAGACTCCCAGCTATAGGTAGAACACATAACATTGATAGACCGCATACCAGGGGTGGATCCAGAGTCAGGGAACTGTGGGTCAAGCCATTTCAAGAGACCATTTATTAGGGATGAAACTGAATTAGAAATGAATACCTTGTAAAAAAAAAAAAACTCAATATGCTTATTAAAATATATAAGTATATTTATATTAAATTTTAGAATTAGTGATACCACTGGTAATGACTTATTTACGATTAATAAATATAATCTAATTTTATCAGCGCAACAAACGTACGGAATAAAATATGATTTCCTTAACTTTCTACTAAAACGATATAATTTAAAATATAAATTATGAATTGAAAAATTTTAAATTTTGAATATACATGGCATTCATTTTTCAAGTAACTCCGATGGGCTAACTGTCCAAGAGTCCAAATCAAGGTCTAAAAAGAGTAAAAAATTTCCAAGAGGCCAATTTTATTAACAAATATTAACTGTGGGTCAGTTGAACCCTTGAACCCCCCTTAGATCCGCCCCTGCCTCATACTAATATTTATAGTTACGTAGCACACAAAACGGAGATAGACCGCATATTGGAAGATAGCCATTTCTATGTCCATATATATTAGTTAAATGTTAAAATGGTATGCTCAGGGTGTCTTATGTAGAACGTTGGACGGACATGCTCACTGGGTAAATACTCTTGCGCTTAGTACAGATTATGTGTTGAAAACTGCAATGGTACCCCAACCGCCATTGTATAGTAAAAGTATGTTAGTTTGTGTAGATTTTGATTTGTTTATATTTTTAATTTTCTAATACAAGTTTCTTATAGGTGATGACATGGTAGCTGATGCTAAAAAAAGATATGATGCAGTTGTTCAAAATGGCGGGGAACGATTGATTTCTGGTTCAGATGATTTTACATTATTCTTATGGGCTCCTGAGAGCAGTAAACACTCTGTTGGTAAAGCATTCTATTAGTTTTATTTAAAATTATTCATCTGTGTTTTCTGATATGACTTACCATAGTTAAATATTTATTTATTATGCAGCAAGAATGACTGGACATCAACAGCTGATCAACTGTGTTCAATTTTCACCAGATGCACGGATAGTTGCATCTGCTTCATTTGACAAATCTATAAAATTGTGGGATGGAAAATCTGGACAGTAAATTGGTGCAACACAAAAATATAAAAGTTCATTTATTTATTTATTATGATACGGTTTTTAGATTTCTTGGAACAATGCGAGGTCATGTACAAGCAGTTTACATGATATGTTGGTCTGCCGATTCTAGGTTATTAGTCAGTGGAAGTGCTGATTCGACACTTAAAGGTATTTATTTTCAGAACAGTTAAACTGAGTCTGCAGTTAATTTAAACTATTTAATATGTTTTTAAGTTTGGGATGCAAAAGCCAAAAAATTACAAGGCGATCTTCCTGGTCATGCGGATGAAGTTTTTGCTGTTGATTGGTCACCAGATGGACATCAAGTGGCTTCGGGTGGTAAAGACAAAGTACTTAGACTGTGAGTTAATTTTTTAATTATATGTATTTGCATAGGTGATGTCTTGTAGAAATTTGAAACATTAAAATAACGATATTCATATAATTCTTCTTAGTTTCTTACTATAAACGGTATAAGATTACTGTTTTAAATATTAAATTTTATAATTATCATAGTACAATACATCATTAGTTCTTAACCTCTTAAGTAGTTTAATATAAAAACGATAAATTCTAAATGAGTTTTTCACTAGTTGAATCTTTATTGACAACATATGACTAAAATGTATTTTTTAATTTTAGGTGGACACACTAGTAAATTATTGCTGGTAATAACATATTTTTCTATATGATCGACTTTTTTCAGTGTATTATAATGTGTAAATAAATGTTATATTTAATAAATATATTGTGTATTTAATGAACATTTAAACTATTTTCAATTAAATATACTTGAGTATTGTAGTATTTGTATCATTTGTATTTTTCATTTTACAACTTTGGTTATAGCCAAAAAAAAAAAAAAGTGTTCAAAATCTTAATTAATTAATGATGAAATGTATCGACACATTTTACTGTTTTTTAAAACAAGTTGAGTTTCTAGTAATAGCAGCAGGAAGGTTCCAAAGGAATTATGCACACTTGTCCATTGATAGGAAATTTTAATCTTTTAGAGAATTTTTTCATAACAATATTGTTCTATGGCTTGAAAAAATGAACATTTATGATACTGTTATGTATTGCTTATAATTCAATCCAAATGCTGACCACTCATTTAGAAACAGCTGTTGAATGACCGACTCGAGTAATACGTAGTCAGTCATGTTTTCGATCTTATACTTAATAGTATATTATTGTTCAGTAATTACTAAGTAGTAATAAGAAAACCTTATTTATAATTAACCTATTACGACTCAATAAACAAAATATAATAACTTAACATTAGATATTAATTATTTCACTGACCCCACATTACTGAATAATCGTTTCAGTGAGGTACTTTTAGGGAACCACAAGCCTAACCCTGAGGCTCACGACAATACAGTTTTTTTTCAACAAAATTAATCTCGATTATATTTATATTAGTTTCAGAAAATACTAATGATTTAAGTTTGACATTTCAGATCCAAAATTTTTTTAGTAATATATTAACTATAAAATAGTTTATCAACTATCAGTGTTCTGTTCAATGGGCAAAGTGTTCATATTAAAAATACTTGTTGCCGACCATTATTTTTTTTAATTTAGGAAATCTGAACAATTTAAATTTTTCTACAAACAACATTCATATGCTTTTAAATTAATATTTTTCTTAAGAGATGTATTTTATATAGGTAATTTTTGAAGGAAAAATAGAAGTTGAAGAATTAATTTGATTCTGCGATCACAAAAAGTGATGTTACAGAGTTGACAAACAATCTGCTGAAAATCTAGTCGCAAATTAATAATATATGGCTTCGATGATAAATAATATGATTTTCAGAATTAAACTTGATTTTTTTATCTGTCTTGTAGTTGTGTATGAGTATATTACTGTGCAAGAACTGTAGCAAACATGTTTAAAGAGAGTAAGAAACCAGTTTTATTATATTATTGATAATGTATACTTAAACAACTAACAAATATATTCTAACGTTCTATATAGATTGTAAAACTCAAAGAAAATAAAAAAACCAATTTGAAAATAATATTTTTTGATATTGTCTCGTATTTTTTTCTGATATACTCAGTACAAAGCTACATAATAATACGGAATAAAAACAAACATTTTTACTGTCATATTCAAAAATTAATAACAAATCCACATAACTGTGGTCGACAGATAATACAAAGCCCAAACAGGAAAAATATCACTTTATCTTTTTAAAAATCTATAAATATATATATATATATATATATTATATATATAAAAAAAATCCATATTATATAATATTATTTAGTTTAGTTTATAATAATATCTAAAAACTTTAAACAAAAATATAACTATATAAAAAAAAAAAAAAACAATGTGTATAATACATCATAAATCTACATCAGACACATGATATATTATGATCTATTGTAATAATGTAGTAACTTTGACCATTAAAAAATAATTAAAATAATAATAATATTACCAAATGTGTATAAATAAAATAAATAACTACAACAAAATATACTTAAAAGGCACATTATTTTATTAGATACCTAATAATTTATTGAATGGCACAATAATTGGGTTATAATATATTTATCATAATATATCATATTATTTATAATTAATAATAAATAAATCAATGGTACCAGTTGGATAACTTTTTCGTGATGTGATTTTGCTACTTAAATAAAAAAAAGATCAACACATACTAAATATGTTTTAACTTATAAAACAAATTAAATAGAATTTGCCTTAAAATATAACGGTATAACTGAAGCCAATAATAATATTATATATATATATATATATGAAATATGTATTATATTATAGTATAATTATTATAACTGTGCATTTTTCTTTTTTTAAGCAGAATATAGGCCAAAATACAAAATTGTCAAAAAAAATTATGAAGTTTTTTGTACAGCATTTTGACTTTGATTTTTATCTTATAATATGCCTATCCTATAGTGTTTTTCTTTTAAGTAATCTTTTTACCTGCAATTTTTTTTAAATGTGATTGACATTAATCAATATTAGACTACACTCTCCTTGTCAACAATTTGTTGCATATCTGTATACACTTTACGAAGTGATACTTCACTAGATCGACAAGATGTTGCAGTGCCATTGAACAGTCCAACCAACCAACTCCTAATCGAATTTCTCGACACCAATTTTTTTCTATGAGGTTCTGTTGCAACATCTTCAGATGAATGCCATCGTTTATTGTCTTCAGTTAATAAAGGAGTGTATTGCAGGCTGCCATTGACCACAGTTTCTGTTACGCTGTCTTCACAGTTTTCTTCTTTCTGACACTGGTCGCTGAAGAGTTTTGAATCCTAAAAGAATGATGAGAAAAATACAACAGTATTGACATGATCTTAAGTTTTGCCTGTTTCTAATTTATACCTCTAATGAACGACAACTCCTTTTGATCAGTGAGCTCACTCTGCTGATTTGTTTGTTCGGAAACGGATCCATGGACGTTGAATGGATCATTCGTTTGCGCAGTGGTTCGAGCAAAGTAGGGGGTAGAGGAAGTGGTCGATGTTCTTGAAGATAGGTTTCACTATCCTTAGTACTTTGATCAATTGAGTTTCCCCGCGGAGCAAACGACGGACGTCTACTTGTGTATTCTCCGAAACCGGAGTATACTTTTGGACTATGCCGTTTGGATCCGCAAAACAGAGGAGGTAATTCATTCAAATCAACCTGAAAATTTAATAGTTAATTTTATTAATTCATTCGATGAGTCTGTTAATCGAACGGAGAGATGTGATTTTTATTACATCTCTTCGTTTAATGGCGCTTTCGTTTGTTCCTTCAAGCCAGTAAGTGAGCACATCCCCTTTTCCTTTCATGTTGACGTATCCACGCTCTTTGATTATATATCCGCCCAGTTCTTCAAGAGAATTTTTGCATTGTTCACTTATGTGTATTTTTAACGGTTCACCATTGGACTCCATCCGAGAGGCTGTATTCACCGTATCACCAAATAAACAATACCTGGGCATTGTGAGTCCAACAACACCGGCCACAACAGGTCCTATTCAAAAGAAGCAACAATAATACGCGGGTGATGTATAAGTTTAATAATAAGTAATAACAATAATAAACCACTAAATAAAACCATAAACAATACCTGTGTGGATTCCTATTCGTAATTTTAACGTGGCTTCCGGTTGATGGGCTATTTTGTGATGTTTCACTGCTTCTAGCAAATTTAATGACATTGAAGCTATCTCGCCAGAATGTCTATTGCCATTCTTAATGGGTAACCCCGAAACCTGTAACGATCAACACATTTTTCATTTGTCAATTATTATTATAATAATAATACCATGGATAGCGTCACATGAATTATTGTTAGTTATAAATCCTAGTGGCTATGTAAGGGAATATGAATTGGATTTAATATACGCGAGACAATTAAACAACAAAATACTCGATGTTACAATGGACAGAAAAACAATTGCTGTTTCTCTGTAAATAATAATACCAACACGTACCACCATGTATGCGTCACCTATCGTTTCAACTTTGTAAACATCGTAGCCTTTGATGATCTTGTCAAATAAAGTGTAGAGATCGTTTAAAAAATTAACAACCTGAAACAAAAATTTACATTCATATAATACACCGAGGTGCATTAAGTATAATATTTTACTGAGTATATATATTAACCTGTAACGGAGTACTCTCGGCGGACATTGCAGTAAATCCAACAATATCGCTAAAGTAAATGGTAACTGAATAATATAATTCTGGTTCTATGCCGTATCCTAGTGTTAAACGTTTCGCTACTGGCCTGCAAAAATTGATATGATTTACGTCGAATCATAGCCTAGAAAAATGCACGAACATACTCTGGTAGCATTCGATGTAACAAATCTTCAGTTTTTCTTTTTTCCTCGTAAACTTCATTTGTACGTTGATTGACTAGATCTTCGAGATTGTTTGCATACTTTTCCATAATATCCATCATTTGATCCATTATGTTTTTTTGTCTAACGGAAAAAAAAAAATAATAATAAGAACCTGACGATTCTACACATGATAGCGTTATTTATTTCAACATGTTATTTTAGAGGAACGTACTTCCCGTCTTTCATTTTTTTGAGTCTCGCGCGTATCGTACCAAAATCCGGTCTATTTTCAGGGAATTCGTCCCAACAATCGGTTATGCATTGGATAATGTAATCTTCTGCCATCTTACAGTCTCTTAAGTGATGTATGCTGGGTCTCAACGGTACATCATTTACTTCATCGCAACCTAACTTAACCAGTCTTATGATTTCTGGTAATAAACACAAACGTAACTTAAACATTTTATCTGGGGCTCACGCATTTTACCTAAAAAATTGTTACCTTTCTTGTATCTAACCTTTAGGTTCTTCGACGCCGCAAGCGCCAAAAGGACCTCGCCGACACATTATTTCATGCAAGATAATGGCAAACGCGTATATATCCCCTTTTTGTGTCCCTTTAATGGATGCGACAGGGTCTCTTAAGAGCTCAGGGGCTTTCCACAACAAATCTAAATGAAAATATATAAATAAACATACAATATTTTCTCGGATGATAGATTTTGACACTTTCAGAAATTCGTGTCGTAACATCACCGTATCATAGCGAAAATGCTTACTTCTAAAATACTGATGTTCACCGATAGAATCATTTTCCGCGCACTGTCTCAAATCATGTAGACCAAAATCCGTAACTTGTAATACCCAACGACTAGTTACAACACAATTAGATGATTTTAAGTTCCCATGACAACCTAAAGGCGAGTTGTGTATAAATATCATACCCTGCACAACAATGGGGTACACTAACAATTGACACGTTCAAATAAATTAGAATGTAATTAGCATTAATAACAGATAGTTATTAGTCCAATATGAAACCGGTAATGACTTACTCTGATGAGATCGTGAACCAAAGATGTGATGAACATTTTTTCCAATTTTATGTCTTCATTTTCTACAATGTCCTGCATCATGGAAATAGAATTTCGAATTATTTACAACACAATAAACTATTGTACAGTCGCGAAGAGACTGAGCAAGTTAAATCATTTTTTCTACCTCATCGAGTGAAGTTTTAAATTAAAAGTTATTTCTCTTTTTATTAACTAGAAAAATACTAATAAATGGAAAAAAAGAATAGGTAACTGAACTTAGTTAAAAATAAATTACTTTATTTTTCTTAACTGAATATTACGGTATTTATATAAAGCTATATTTATGTACGTTATTTTGATTGTTATTTAAATCTAGAAAAAATGCATTCAATAGTTTCACAGCTATAATTTCGGTTATTTTTTAATAAAAACAATAATTCTTAACAAAACAAATACATTTTTTATTTTCAGAATTTAAATAAGGAAAAATTAAAAAATGAATTAACTGATTAGTAACAACACATAACGGAAAAAATTAACTCGTTATATTATTATATTTAAATTGAATTATACAGCTCGATGAGTAATTGTTTAAAAGTATAAAATTTTACTATAACTTTTTAACTCGTTAATGCCCAGCATTGGTAATACATAGTGATAATAATAAAAATAAAATCAACTTACATAGAGGCTTCCTTTAGCGCAATAATCTGTGATAATCAGAATTCGTAACGGTTCAATAGTAGCACCGATAAACGAGTTTACGTTGCTGTGCCTCAAGTCTCGCAGCAGACGCATTTCTTTCATCTGTTCTCTAGATATGTCTTTTCGTTTGGAAAACTTTAATTCTTTGATTCTCACCATTATATTTCGATACTGGCCGGTTGTGGCAAAAACTTGGAGTCCAGCGCGCGACTCGTATGAAGTGGCCGAAATCAAACTCAACTATGAAATTATACAAAACGTGCAATATTGTATAATTATTGTTATTCGTTTACTACTAAAACGTTTACGGTTCAGATGAATTGTGGTATCATACGTACTTTGCTGGGAGACGAAACGATATCCTTGTTATAGTACCCAAACAGATCGGCCTTGTCTATTTTCCACAGCAACCCTTCGATTTCCAATTCGATCTTCCATTTCCGGTATATCGAGAGCGTGATGACGAACGCGCAAAACAGAATCAAACCCAAAATCGTAGCCACAATGATGGAACTCTTTTCCAAATCGTCCTTGTTGCACAGTTCGTTGTTAAAACCGCAACTAGGTTCGTCGTCTGGTCGACCTTTGCCGGGCCATTCGATTTTAAAATTAGGGTTGTTCAATTTGTACTCCTACGCTTACGAGTCATCAAAGAAATATTATTTGATATTTAACTACGAAACGCTATTGTGCTTTACAGATTATGCATATAAATATTATTTACCAGTGATTCGCCGTAGTAGAATTGAGCCACCGGGACCATGAAGTACGGGCAAGAGAAATTGCCTTCGTTTAGATGGACGTTAAAATTTTGCGACTTCAAAGCTACCACTGAAAAGTTACCTTCCGAGTCCCCGTCTTTGTCCAATTTGATTGTAGTACCAGTTATACCTGCGCAAAAATATTGTATTCCGTTTAACTTCACATTCGTTTATCATTTTATTTAAAATGTATGTACACGAGTAGGGATAAAACGAGGGTTAAACTGTTTTAAAATATTATGTGTACACTTTTCGCAAATCTATTTTAGAAAATATATTAAATTATATACAACCGTTTATGACATTAGATATGGAAAATATATTAAATAATTTATATTTTTATTAAATGTATAGATAACATGAAATCTCAGTAAGAAATTAAAAAACAATTATTTTTTAATACTGCTTTTGATAGTATAATTTTTATGTTTTTCAATACTACCCATTAATAGATCATAAATAATATTCTAGTTGAATCTAAAATATGTTCAAATTAATAATAATGCATAAATATTTAACAATATTGTCATAAACCAAGTTTTGTCCACAACCTATGCGAATTCAACAAATGGATAAGATTGTTTTCAATAAACGATAGATAGCCTTAAGGGTACGGTACGGTTTCCCTGCAGCATTAAGACGTAGCGCGTCCAGACAAATGCAGTTTACCATTTTTTCTCTTCAGCGTCAGACGAGATGAATTTTATTATATTATTCCACTCATTCAATTAAATTTTACAAAATTAAATCATAATCCCTGTGACTGTTGTATTTTTTGTACATAGTTTCCTCATTTAAGTTTTGTTTTTTAATTTTTTCAAAATAAATCAAAATTTGATTTTGAACAATAATATTAATAATAATATTATTTGTCAGTTTCTTCTTCGTGATAAAGAAATTTAAAATTATTTACTTATAAACTTAATTAAAAAAAAAGAAGCACATTTTAAAAGTTTGTTTTTTATCCGTAACTCTGGAATATTCTTTAAAAATTTGATTAGTGGACATTTTGATAATGACGATGAAAAATACCGGAAATTTCGTAGTCTTAATCGTGAACAAATATATTTTGTCTTCGATTCAATTAGAAATAACAAAGTAACTAGCACTACGCGTACTAACATATTGTCTACTATACTCGTATTTGCTAGTTGACATACAGACGCTGGGCGTATTGATGCCTGACGAATAGACGGAAATCACGACAAAAACCGTACCTTTAGTGGTCCAAATGTTTTCCCCCGGGTTTTTTTTTTTTTTTGTATTTTTTATCACTTACTTTGGTACGTGATATTCTTGATAAGTGTTTCAATTATTAGCGTTCCGTTATTAGACACTTCATCGATCATTTCACCAGTTAGCTCCCGACCGTTGGCTCTAGCTCTGAGCAAAAAATCTAACGTCCGAGCATAAAGCATGACCGAATCGTACAAATTGGCAGCGTAAATGGAAATAAACTGCAAATTTTCACGATGACATATTATTTTTATTATCGTAGCGATGATAATCTCAAAATGCAAATTATTATAAGAATAACGGATCGAAAACTTACTTTGGCGTAAGATACGTTTTTGAATACTTCCGGCGTCGGGAATTTGAATGGATCTTTGCTGGTAAATTCTAATACTTTTTTCGAGAAAACTGCATATTCGTTTGGTAACGGTGGGGAGGAAACGACGACCAACAGTGAACGGGCTCGTTTAAGGAAATTCTTTTCTTCTAAACAGTTCCCGATGTCAATAAAACTCTTTCCTGCACGATAGTCATCTTAAAAAAAAAAAAAAAAGTGAATTCTAGACAAAATATAAATATATGCGTGACGAAAAGATATTTGTGGACAATGAACAAAATTATAATAATAACAATATTAATATAATATCATATTGAATATATATTACTCCATAAGTATTGCCGAAAGTCTTTGCCGTAGTTGAACTTCGTGTCTCCGTAGATGACCATGTAATCGCCGTTGTCGAACAGTTGTAGGGATTGCATTGCGGCCATCATGTCGACTAACGATTTTGGGGTACCAAAAAACACGTAAACTAAACGAACACATAAAAAATATTAGAGCATTAACACTGCGAAACGATACCGCGATATTGAACGCGATCGTACTTCTGGTGTTGACCATGGTCTCCTGCGCCAAGGAGTACCAGGGCGCTTCGTTACAACACTTCTGGTTCTGTTCGCAGCACTTGTGGTACTCGAATATTGTCTCGAAATGATTGATGGTCATGTTAGCGTTCAACGCTTGTATTTTCAAAGACTCCGCAACCGACTTCATCGAATCCTCGGTGATTATGCTAAATTTTTTCCAACTGTAATACCTCAACAGAGATATAATCGATTTGGTGATCTGAAATGTTATCAAGCCCACGCACACGGGGTTACATACGTTTCTAAGTTATTTTTTTATACATCTTTACGGGGTTTGCCGTCGAATTTCTTATACCTGAGTGTCGGGAGGATCTGTACGGGCAAATGTTGGTATTCCCGAAGCTTTGTAATCGGCACATTTCTGTAATTTAATAAACAATAGTTTGTCATGATTAATAAGTAAATAAGTACCAACAGTGGTGTGAAAGCATCAAGCGCAAGAAGTGCAGATATATCCATGGCACACGCCATCGGAATAGCGTACCATCACGGGAATAGTTTTAAATAACCTGCGACCACGATAAATGATAACACACAATATAGCTGGTGTATAGACATATTGATTTTACAGAAAAAAAAAAATTCAAGGTAAAGATCATTCAACTATCGTAATCATTATGTTTGGAACATATGTAATGACAATGTTACTGTTTAGTCGTTTAACATTAAAATAAAATAAAAACGGATGGGGAGAAAAACCTGTATCTGACGAGAATAAGATTATATTAGATTTAATTCGATTTTTAAATTTACACGGGAACGATGATATCCGTGCGATTTCTGCAAGTTTAGACGTAAAGTAATTTCACAATTAATGTCATTTATAAAATGCATTGACATGATTCAATAATGTTAAAGTGTTCTCGGGTCATTTGTCCGAGGACCGAATAGGCCCTATACTTTAGGGTCACATCGTAGACAGGGTCGGCGGAACGCGGGGACGGCCGATGAGGTCGTATTATTATGTTGTATTCGTATTAACTACATAACATTTAAGATGAGTTTATACAGGTTTTTTTTAATCGTTTTCGCCAACAAGAAGATTCACAAGCAATATACTTCGCTTTACACTAGAACGCGTTTCATAATCCATAGACCGATTTCACACTGGCGTTATTATATGTTCAATTTCGTCATTGTATACATGGATTTAGTACGTAGTGCGCGACAACAACTCGAGTCACATAAATCCTTATAATAATAATAATAATAATAATAACGCACGCGCGCACACCAAAACGTCGAAACGGCATCGTAGCCCAGCACATATTGTTATTCATATTATTGTTATTTTGTTGTCCGTCACTGAACGGAGAACAAAATATAGTACACTTAATACGTGTTATTATAACAACATTATTACGCATCTTAATGGGCGTGACTGGGCCGTGACATAGGTGTAATAACAGCAATAATGGACGGGGGAAGGAGGAAACTATAATATCGGTCGACAGAAATTCAAACATATTACGCGCGGCGTAATGAAGATGGACGGCCGGTGGCCGCGCGGGTCGACGGTTTCCCGACGAGAAGGAAAACCGATTACAAAAGAAAAACGGAATGTACATACGAACGTTCGTCATCGGTTATTTATAGCGGGACGACAAAGCCAACGTCCTTGGAAAAAGCCTAAACACACATTAAAACACTATGTATAGATTTTTTTAATCGCTAATTTACATAACCGCGGTCGACCTGTGTGTCGTAAAGTACGCACGCACACGTACACACGCGCCGCAACCTTGAGTTCAAAAGAATCACTCACCTACCCACCCTGTACACGTTACGAACGATACACGGTATACGGCGGCGCGAGGGCGGGGGCGAGCGCAATAATAATATGCGAAAACCGTTTTCCGCGCAAATGTCCGCGTGTGCCTTTACAAACGGCGTATACGTTTGATGGTAGGTAATCGCCGTGGTGGAATTTACGACACGCGATACTAACGTTAAATTAGAATGCGAAAAAAAAAAGGAGTCTAGAAGGTACTCACCTCCTGGAAGGCGTGTGGAGTTTTGAAGTGAAACCCTATCTAACACGCGGACGCTCGTGTTTCCCCACGGGTATATAACGACAATTCGATCATAACCGATTGCATAACGTCGACGGGCGATGGTTTAAAAATTGTATATAAATGTGATCACGACACAGTGCCTCGACGTGAAAAAAAAGCCATTCCAACAGCACAATAACATATGGACGTATACGTGTATGTACATTGTTTCGGTTTGATTGTCGTTAAAATGTTCGGAAATAATGATTAACATTGCGTCGCGTTTGTATGGAACGATATGACAGACATGGTCGGATACGGTTAGAGGGGGGAAAAATAGAGTTTATAACAACGAAGTGTTAACGCGGCACAAGAATGTTTGATGGTAATATTATGGTAAATATAAAACGAGCCGGAACAAAAATTTCCCCGTGTGTCCGCGCGCGGACGAGGCAACTTTTCTCCCACTTTTACGTACGTACGTAAAAAGTGTCTACAAAACGCGCACCAATAATAAACCATAAACAGTTCGTAATATTCGTACTTGACGTTCTTCTCCTGTGCACTGTTAACGACTTTGGCCGTGGTTCTACGAGATGTTAAACGCCGTCGCGTGTGCCGTTCAAACGTCGTAAAATGCGCACACACACGATGTGCATGCGCATTATAATATCGGACATGCATGTCACACGCGCGTTTGGGCTGCGATTGGAAAACAAACGCGATTACACGACCGGCGCGTGAAGTAAAGAAGTAAGAAATGTAAAAGTGTACCGACCGTACGGCGTGGCGAAATGCGCTCATCCGCTGGGAAGCCACGCATTGCGAAGGGGCGCAAAGTTGTGTTCAAAAGGTATTTATTGAACCGTAATCGTGGGAAGGGAGGATTTTTCGAAATTCGTCAGGAGCGTGGTGATAAGGAGAAACTTGAAGGTAATACATGTATAAATTATGATGGCACATGGGAACTCGGTAAAAGTGATATAAATCCAACTCAATCGAACGACACAATTCTATCGCTTGAGATTTCAAGTCTGTTTTTTTTTTTTATTAAGCTGTAAGTAAGTTGTACATAAAATATAATATCGCGAATGATCGGCTTTTTCTAAACGTTTTATCGGTTGTTTATGAAAATTATCATCCGTGAGCTTTTAACCACGATCCATAATTTATACAATAATATAGCTCGTCTTTAGAATCACAATTTTATTTTTTATAAGCTTACGAATGTTTGGAAAAATATTTATTGACGATCAATAGTTCTAGTGCGGTATCCAATCCGAAGCGCAGCAAAAGTAACTATACATAAAGTAACCGCACGCAATAAACTACTATTTAGTCTAAGAATTGTCGGACCTCACGTTCTCGCTCCGACGTGAAACTTTATTCTGTGACGGTACTTGGTCCAAAGTCGAACCATATATGCCATTCACGAATAGTTCGGTAATTTTTATTAGCGAATAACAAATTCTTCATCTGTTAAGCATTAGATACAAGTAAAACATTCCATTGCCTGCATTCGTACACGATCCCTATACGCATATGCATGCACAGACCTTTTTTTCAGGGTATGCAAAAGGCTGTCCTCTCTCCCCAATGAAAGTTGTTTTTAGCGTTCAAAATCCTTGTAAAAATATGTGTGTGTGTATACTTAAACAATTATTGTTTAATTTAAAATTTTTTTTTAAAAAAAATGACCGAAAAGCCATTTCTTTATTATTATAACTGTCTCTGTAATAAAAATTTAAAATAAATTACGAAAAAAAAAATGAAATATATCAATTGAAAAAGTTTGAGTAATATATTTAAATAGGTAGTGTAAATTAACAAAAACATGGTCATATAATTCAATGAACAAACAAAATAAATTGAATAAATAATTATAAATGATCATAATACAATTTTGTGTTCAGTTGAGTTTTTTAAATCATCAATAATGTCTTCCAGATTTAAATTTATAGCTACTTATTACTCTATAGTTAAAAGCTTTAAGCTATTTAATCTCTCTTGAAGCATAATACTTCTTGATTTCGTTAATACATTAAATCGTTATTACATTAGTAATAAAATAATAAAAAAATAAAATTAAAAAAATTAGTAAATTATTAACACTCGTAAATGAATATATAAATATTTAGTACATATAAAATAATAAATAAAATAAATAAATGTTTAGCCTAAAGTATTATTATATTTGTAATATTTGCATTTTAATTTGAAACCGGTCGTGCATTACAAATATAATATTCCAGGCTAAGCAATTATTTCTATGTATAAACTATTTATATATTATTTGTGTTTCAAAAATTAATAAAAATGTATGGGATTGATTATAAAAGTAAAATAATATTTATATAGTAATGTAACATAAAATTATATCAATATAAATTTAAAAATCAACTTTTTATGCTTTTTATTTATTTTTGGTAATTTTAGAAACAAAACTCTGTGTTCGTGGTATACAGCTGCATACTCTATACCTTGCATAAATCATGTGCACGCCTATGTCCCTTTATCAAAAAATCTGTGAACAATAATGTGACACCAGACCACGCAGGTTCACAGTTTCGGTGACTTTGACAGGACACCTCGTAGTCGTTCAGACGTCATCAGAGACAAAAAATGAAATCTCCGTACACGTGCTAATGTAATTTAATCATATCATTGCTACAATACCGAATGCTCAATTTTCGTTCAAATTTTCAATTCTGAGAGGCATCGAATTTTTAATTTGTACGAAACCTGTTTCTTCGCCGTTTTACCGTAAAATATACGTGTATGTAGTAGGTATTCGAATATTTTAATAATAATTTAGACGATGAATATTATGATTTAGAAAGTGTTGTGTAAATATTACTAAATTTTCTTATTATAAACATAATTTTAATAAAATAGTTTCTCCTTTTTTTTTTCAAAATTATAATCCTGATTCGTTGAAAATAAGAAATTGATACACGTACAACATAGCAAATTTGTGTACAGTAATTCAAATGTAATGTTAAAGGAAAAATATAATCTGTGTTTTATTGGTTGGTTTTTTCCGATATTTTAATTTTAAGCGAGTTATGAGCATGTAAAATATAACAATTGAAAAAACTCATAACTCGTTTAAAAATTAAAAAATCAGAAAAAACCAACCAACAAAACTCAGAAAATGTTTTTCTCTTAAAGTATCATTAGAGATTAGTTTACTCTAATGGTTAATTTAACATCACTACATTTGAACTACTGAACGCAAATTTTCTACGTTGTGCGTGTGTTAGAAAGAGTTAACCCATGAGAATTTGATGCCCCCTTAATAATTCTTAGAATTGCAGAATAAAACATATAGTAGTTAATATAGCATGAAATATACATCTAGGTAATA